TTTTGGTCTTTCTTCTATCTATCCCTCTCTGTTCCTCTGGGATGGAAGGATGATACCAAAGTACCAAAGCAATTTCCCAAATCTTTAATTATAAGACCCAGTTTGAGATTTCTCTCTGTCTGTTACATATTTCCACAAAGACATATCCCTATCATTGCTTTAAGCACAATGTTCTATGTCCAAAGCTGATAATTACATCCCTCTCAAGAATGGATTCTTCTTTCTCAGTTAACGATGCCATGATTTTTTTAGTTGTTAAGATATTTGATTAACGAATAAAAGTTAGAGAAGCATCTTAAGGATATTTTTTTCTCCAGTCACTTGGAAGGCAGACAAGGATAGAGTCTTCACTTTTTATAATTTTTACTTTACTTTTCAAATTTTCTGTCATCAAGAGGGTTAGGCTTGTCCAGAATATTCAACCTAAGAAATAGCTATAAAAAATATTTCTAAGAAAATATACCTGGAAAAATGGGAAATTGAAAGAAATAAGTTGTACTCTTAAGTTTGCAATAGTATATTTCCTTTCTCTTTACAAGTAATTTTCATTATAAGTTAGGAATTCTGAGTTTAGTATTCCATTCTTAAGTAATAGTTTTAGGTTCCAAGATATTTAATCAATGCTAATTTATAGACCACACTTGTCTAATACAATATAAACTTTGAATGTTTAGGCTTATAAAAATTTAAAATAACACATTTCCCTTGGATCTGTACTCACTAAAAAAGTCAGACTCTCCCATCACTTCCTCCATGGTACCTAACAATATCCTACAAAGCTGCTGAAAGGAGAAGCTCCATTGTTGCCCCTGTTGGTGGGAGGTGAGTGCTCAGTTCTCCCACTGCTCTCTCAGTCCAAAACTATATAATAGAGAAAACTATGATTGACTGAAACTTCTCATCTCATGGTTTAAACCTCACCCATGAGATGATTCTGATTTGTTTATTCAGAGGTAAGATATTTTCTGAACTCAACATGGAAAATCAGTTAGACCAGTTCTTGAGCTGCAAGAAGGTAAGATGGTCACTGGAAGTATACAAAGAGCAGATAAGGAGCAGCAAGTTCTTTCCAGGATCCCAAAGACATTTTTGTCTTTAGTTAGTTCCATGGAATAAAGTATGGATTGAGCAAATGGCTTTAGCATTACAAACATACAGGATTTTGAAAGGTTAAGCAAAGATGCCAGGGTAATTATAGATGGTGATTATAATAGAAAAAAAATCCATTTTTCTTCCTTTTTTTAAAAAAAAAATTTTTTCCTGTTTTTGCCCCAATAATAAAAACAAAGGGGTCAAAAACATGACAGAGAGTGATGAACAAAAGAAGACAATACCATTCAGGGATCATTTAATGTTTGTGTGGTCTTTCTGCTTTAATAATATTCAGATGCTTAACTACTCTCTTCTTTTTCTCCAGATGTTTAAAAATACAGCAGTAAAAGATGTGAGAGGCCAATAGAAAATCTAATCATCAGAATTTAAGACAACTAGATTTGTTTTATTTTCTCTTCCCTTCTTTTATTTAGTCTTAGAATTCTTTTGAAAGTTACATAAAATGAGTATTTTACAGTTCAGAAAAAAATTCTGTACAACTTTCCTGTGGAAATTGACAGAAATCCTTGGTAGGCAAACCACTCAACCAAGTGTAGCACCATAGAGTGCTGCAGAATGTTGGTTACCATGAGAAAAGGTCACCCAGGTTAAGTCCATGGTTCTGAATTCAGCTTGAAGCAGAATTTGAGTTTGTTTATTTGTTTTTGCAATTCTGGGTCCATACTTTATTTTTAGTCTAGGAAGGCACTCAGGGTTGGGAATTTTCTTGCTTTTACCTAAATAACACTTGTGCCCAATTTACTAAGAAACAATGCTGTTGAACCATCTAAAACATGCTATATTCCATTTATAGTTAGTTCCCATTTTAGGTACCGACATAGCTTCTGACAAAGATTCACTGTACATTATGAAACCTCTGCTTCTCACTAGAAGCAAATACCAAAGCATAGATTCCAAAATCTAAATTTTGAATGAATATAGATTCAATGAGTATAGATTTTTCTACTCATCAGAAGCAAGAGTACCATCGAAGTATAGATTGAAAAATCCATACCACCTGGCACGGGGGACCTCGGTGGCTCAGTCATTTAAGTGTCCAGCTCTTGATTTGTCATGATCTCACACAGGGCCTACTTGGGATTCTCGCTCCCTCTCTTTCTGCCCCTCCTCCGCTCATGATTTCTCTATCCAAATAAATAAATTAACGTAACAGGAAAAAAAAAGCTGCATCAGAAGTCATTTTTTCATTACCTATTTGGACACAGAGTCTTTTAGCTACAAAGAGCTTAAATCATTAGATTATTCGTTTTTAATCCCTCATGGTATTCATTCCTGTTGATTATTTTCAACAGGCATTTGAAACTCATTAAGGATTCAGGTATTTTTGTAGTTGTTGTTGTTGTTTTAATGAAATGCCTAAAAGAGGCAATGTGTAGACATGTGCTCTAGCCAGATAAATATCAGTTGATGGAACGGATTTAGCAAACCATATCCAGAAACAATATCTGTTAAAACATTCCAATATCCTTTATTCTAATGTACTGAGTTGCACAATGAAATATATAGCTAACTAAATCACTAACATAAAGCAATTGCTCTGTGTATTTGTTCTTTCAGTAGATAAAAGTGCTTTGGACCATTATTATATAGTATGTGAGAATGCAGGATATATGAAATGGAAACTTCCAGGATCACAGAGATTATCTCAGTGAGGTTTTTGCTTGTTTATTTATTTTTTTGTGTGGTGTGTGCTGTTATTATTTTGTTTATACATTACCATCTTCTAAATAGAAACTTCAGTAAGTTTGGAAAGCAGAAGGGCAGAAATTGGGAGATAGTAACCTCAAAAAACTTCAAAAATTCAGAGTCTGGGGAAATCATTAAGGCTGTTTACCACTCATTAACCCCAGTAACTAAAGGGACCCACATTAAGGTATGGTAGGATTGGTAGATTTAGCAAATAAAATTATTATAATGTAGTCCTTAGCTGTATAGAGTAGCACTTCCATCATTATCAAGATATAAATAAAATATATAAAATCACATAGTGTTTGTTACATTTGCTTTCTTGTACAATTTTTGTTTTCCTGGAGTTAATAACAGCTTAAATATGTCAATGCTTACTTTCTTTATGCACTAAATTCAAATTTTCCCCCCAAATTCTTCTGGAGAATTATAAAACCCTTTTCAACATGTCAAACACCACTGAAAACTTTTAAGTTCCATATTATTTTTTCCTTAAAGGTAGCCTTTCTGAAGACTACTGTCCTCTGATTTTAATCTCAAAAAGTTACTATGTAATCTTGCTACCCAGATATTATCCTAGGATTTTTGTTTACTGTCATCATGGTATGATAAAAAAAGAAAAAAGGATAAAATAGGCAGAGAAGGAAAGGATAGGACCTGAGGTCCCTGGGTAGGGAAAAACCCATATAAAACTAAGACTCTTGCCTATTGTAGGTGGGCATTTGCTTTTGAATGCCCCCTCTCCATAAAGAGAACTTTCCTACTGTTCTTCCTTTCTGAACTTATATACTCTAATAAACTTTTGCCAGCTGCTCATTTTGTTTCCACCTGTTCTTTCTTTGAAGTGGTGAGACAATGAACCCCAAGTATTGAGGTAAAAAAAATCTTGCAACATTTCTTTGGGGGCTTATCTGGGATATCAACATCTTCTAACTGTAAGTAAAGAGTGGCTGACACTTCTTTTCTTTCTATCCTAGATGAAACTCTCAAACCAAACAATGGGCACCAGCCAGTCAGTTAAGAGCAAATAGCACAGCTGCCTTTCTCAAGTCTCGAGTGATAGACTCCTTGGGTCTCCTCCTATCTGATCCAACAAAATGTCTCAGTCTCCTTTCAAGAAAAATCTCCAGATGCATGGGGCTTAGGGGAAGCCAGGCAGCAACTGATGGGTCCTGACCCATCAGTCAGGTGGTGGATGCCTGAAGGCTGTTGGCCGAACCTGATCTCTGACCACCTGTTTGGGTATCCAGTGGAATTCTCCTCTTTCTGTCTTGGTCAGCTCTTTGGGAAATGGGAAATGAGTGGAAAAGCCCAGGACTGATCCCTCAGATATTCTTATAAGAGTGATATGGGTCACTCCCAAAGGCTCCTACTCACCGGTTTCCCAACTACAGTGGAAGGTGGCCCTCTACTTGCTTCCATTTCTTTTTATTTATTTATTTATTTATTTATTTATTTAAATGTTTTATTTATTTCTGAGAGAGAGACAGCATGAGGAGGGGAGGGCCAGAGAGAGAGGGAGATACAGAATCTGAAACAGGCTCCAGGCTCTGAGCTAGCTGTCAGCACAGAGCCCGACATGGGCTCGAACCCACAAACTGTGAGATCATGACCTGAGCCAAAGTTGAGTGCTTAACCGACTGAGGCACCCACGCACCCCTACTTGCTTCCATTTCTGACACTCTGGCACGGCTCACTTCCCAGGTAGGTCCCCATTTTTTGGACCTTTCATTTTCAAACATCTCTTGCAGAGCAGAGAGCAATACTCACTCCAATGCCTTCTGGCACTCACCCTCCTCCTGCCCCTGATGTCCATGGTGGGGATAGGAGAGAAGAAATTTGGCAGGCTCTCACAAGATGCAAATGATAAGTAGAGCCAACTGTCTCTGATTAGTCTACCTTGGGACAGGGACTTTAAGGAATATTCCCAAGCAGCTGCCAAAACTCCTTTTGTTTCCAGGAACTTCCCTATCTTCTCTGGCCTGACGTGGACTGCCTATTTCCACTTGTTAGTGGAAAAAAAAAAAAAGTCTACATCTGTCCATCTGTCCAAGCTGACAGGCTTTAAGACAAAGAGTCCTCTTTCTCTGCCGTCTGGGCTTTTATCTGCCTCCAGGCTTCTTGGCCTGACATTATGTCTTCGGCTTTCTCCTCCCTCCTCCTGTTTTTGCACCACCTTGGGTGCAGCCTGCAAACTGGTTCCTAGACCATCCTCAGTGCCTCAGGCACCAATGGTTCCTCCGCCCGCCCTCAAGTCTGGGAGTGAAGAGTACTAGACTTCAACTGTCCACTTCAGATTTTCCCACTGGTGCCCCAGGTAAAAATGACAATGGGGGACAAGTTGGTTGACTTTTAAATGGACACAGTTGAAACATAGTATTTAAAGGAATCTAAAGTTTGTTGACTTAACTAAGATAGAGGTATCAACATAAAATAAATAAAAACGTTTTCTACCTAGGTTTACTGAAGGTCAAATAAGCTCATGTTATCTCTGTTGCAATTTGTCAGCAAAAAGGTGACTTAAAATGATGATTAACTTTGTCTCACAGTTTTCATGGGTAATTGTTAGAACAGTTCTCAGGGTTATTGATAACCTAAAACATTAAAATTTTGCTTGAATGATAAACTGGATTAAATTTGTTGGACATCTAGACCTTTTCCAAATCAGATGGAATGCTGAAGCATTACTTACTTAACACAGGTTTGTGCTTTTGACTTACTGCAAAAAAACAAGGATATTTGGGTGTGTTGGAAAACAATGCTTTGTGCTTGATTGATTTATATATTTACCACCTAAAAATTCTGGTGTAACAGTTTACAATTGGTTACTACAGTTTTCTCTGAAGACTAATATTTCTAAGAGTTAAAATTCTGCTAAATGTAGGTAAGACTGATGGAAATAAGGAAAGCAACTCTGTATGTATAAAAGTAAATGTGTAAGTAAGAAAGATAGAAGGAATGGAAATACATTTTTGTTGAAGGTAAAAGAATGTAATTTTAACCTAAACGAGACTGGTTGCTTGGAGAGAAATGGCTGGAACAAAATCTGAATGCAAAGGAAAGTTGTAAAAGGTTCATGAAGGGAAGTCTTTGAAAAGGAATTTTATGTGTGGTCATGACAAAGGTTAAAATGAATGGATTTTTAAAATACACTGGTGTAAGATCAAAATTGCCCCCCCTTCATCCAAAAGCTGGGGAAATGGTGGCAATACCCTTGCTGCCAGTTTCCAAATGCTCCACATTTATGTTTCTGCAAGATCTGTGAGGGATGGATGACTATGATATATGAAGGGCTTTTACTGGGATACATGGGACCCATTTTGCTACACTTAACCCAGGGTATCCCAATTTGTACCAATCTAGTGACTTTAAAGTGGATACCCACATGGCTGGAGCATATTTATGTGGGCACTGCTATAAAAGGCAGAGGAATAGATCTCGACTTTGGCCCTTTTAACCCCACCTCAATGGGCGATGATCAATATGTCAATTACTGTTGGGCCATAATAAAATTAGCACATCCTTCTACAACCAGAGGAGTCTTGCTTGATCACACTCCATACCCCCAAGTTCCTGCAGCCAGGAAATAGAAGGGTAGGAATAACCAGGGAAGACGGGTCAGCTCTCAGAGGTACGGTCAAGCCTGGGTAAGAGCGACTACTTCCAGCACCTCATGACACTGACAGGATTTTTGGCTGCCAGTCATATAGCCTGCCAAAATGCGGGGCTAGGAGGTGGGGTTACTCCTGGCTAGCTGTGGGAAATTGAGATAAGGAACGCCTTTTCCTCCTCTTTCTATAGATGGGTAATTCCCCAACCAAGGCCAATACTCCTTTGTAATGCATTGTGAAAACCTGGGATAATTCTGATTGACAAAACCTAAAGAAAACGTGACTCATTTTCTTTTGCACAAAGGCTCGGATCCAATACAAATTGGAGAAGGAAGCCTGACCACCAGAGGGAAATAGCAATTATAATACCATCCTACAATTGGACTTGTTTTGCAAACGTGAGGGGAAATGGGGAGAAGTCCCCTATGGTCAGTGTTTTTGGGCCTTAAGAAAGATATGTGTAAGCAATGTAAGGTTGATCCTGATTTAATGGCAACCCTTTTTAAAGTCCAGCAATCAGGAGAGGAAACAATTAAGGGCCCTTTGCCTATACTCAAAGCAGACCTAGAGAAGGAGGAAGGGAAGTTTTCCACCTCAACCTCCTCCTCCTCAGGTCCTCACTTTATGTAACCAGACTTAAAAGAAACCATGCACTTCTGCTCCCCTCCTTTTCCAGCCCAGACATGATGTAACAGGCGTTTTTCCCCTACAAGAAGCTGGAATGCCAGAAGGAGACAGGTAGGGAGACACCACTCTATTAAGGCAGAAACTACCTTTTCCATTATAAGATTTAAGGTAGATAAAAGGAGATCTGGATAAATTTTCTAATCTGTATAAGTATATAGAGGCTTTTAAGAATATTAGGTATGTTTTGGGGCGCCTGGGTGGCTTAGTCGGTTAAGCGTCCGACTTTCGCTTAGGTCATGATCTCGCGGTTCGTGGGTTCGAGCCCCGCGTCGGGCTCTGTGCTGACTGCCAGCTCAGAGCCTGGAGCCTGTTTCAGTCTGTGACTCCCTCTCTCTCTGACCCTCCCCTGCTCACGCTGTCTCTCTCTCTCTCTCTCCTAGAAATAAATAAAACATTAAAAAAAATTTAAAAAAAAGAATATTAGGTATGTTTTTTAATTGACCTGGAAAGATATAATGCTTTTGTTGAATCAAGACTTTTAATGAGATAGAGAAACCTGGGGGTTCTGGCAACAGCTGAGATGCAGATGAGCAATTCATTATCATGGGACTGGAGGTCCTATAGGGAACTTCCAGTTTCCTACTGGAGCACAGGTAGTTCTGCCCCAAGATCCTAACTGGGACTATGCTAATCCCATTGGGGAATGATGTCGCTGCCATTTCCAAGCTTTTGGAGGATTAAGGAGGTCTAAACTTAAATTAGCCACTATCTTATAGATACAGGATGAAAACTTGGTGGCCTTCTTAGAAAGGTTAAAGAGGCTCTTATTAAAGATATAGCTCTCTCCCCTAACATCTCTGAAGCCGAGATGATTCTGAAGGACAAATCTGTCAGTCAATAGGCTTCAGATATTCTGGGGGAAACTGCAAAAATCGGCTATTGGCCCAGAAGGGATCCTGAAGGAGCTCTTAAAAGCTGCCAATTGGGTGTATTATAACTGAGATCAAGAGGAAAATAAGGAACTGAGAAGGAAGCTTAAGAAAAAATCTGAAACCTTAGTTGCAGCCTTCTGAACTATTTTGGACCAGACTTCCCGAGGTCCTGGCACCAACTACCCTTCATGTGGCTGTTGAGGGCACTGGAAATGAGAATGTCCTGGGGGGCGGGGGGGGGGACAACTAAAGCTGAAACCCCGTAAGCCACGCCACTTTTGTGCAGACAGTCATTATAGATCTGAATGCACTCAGGGACCTCAATCTGTGAGGGCTTGGACAACCAATGTCCTTGAAAGGTACTGAGTGAGGCAGGGCTATTTAGGTGGCTCCTCTGACACAACCACCCATCAGAAATCCAGAGCCTTGGGTAACTCTGAAAGTAGAAGGAAAACTGGTTGATTTCCTTCTTGACACCAGAGCCACCTTTTCTGTCCTTTCCACTGCCAGCCAACCGTCTAAATTTAGCATAATGATTAGAGGTGTCTTTGGAAAACTTATGACTAAATTGTTTCCTCAGCTGCTGGGATACATATGAGAAAACTTGATTTTTTCACATTCTTTTTTGATAATGCCAGAGAGCCACACTCCCTTGCTAGGAAGGGACATGATCAAATTAGGGGCTATAGTGCTACTAGCTCCAGGACAGATAAACAGTTGCCTAAATTTATAGTAATCTGGGTATCAAAGATCAGTCTTTCCTTGAGGTAAAATTAAATGTGCCTCATGGAAACTGGATGGCCAGAGGAGGATTTGGGGCTTGAAGACCATGAACTAGTTCAGGTACTTAATTATTCTAATCAATAGTACCACCATATCCAAATAAATATGGAAGAGCGAGGAGAAAGAAAAACCAATAGTTAAATTATTAAAAAATGACCAGACATCTCAAGGACTTTTTGGATGGCTACAATGCATCTTTCCTTCCTAATGGTGTGGCCTCCTCCCTAGAAGGCATTGCATTTAGAATAGTCTAATATTCTTTGTATGTCATTTGTAGGAGCTGTCACATATGCCAGAGAAATAAGACATCCAAGAAAAATTCTGCTAGCCCCGATGTTCCAAACCCCCTCCCACTATATTAAACCTCTGGATGACCTCTGAACCTGCCCTGACAGCTGTTCCCCTGTCATTACCCCCCACCCCTGCCCCGCTTCAGCAGGAAGCAATTAAGATGGGTCATCACCCTATTCATAAGGGCAGTTAGGAGTCATGTGTTCAGAGGGAGGAATATGATAGGAAAAGACAGGGTAAAATAGGCATAGGAAAGGACTGGACCTGAGGTCCCTGGTTAAGGAAAAACACATATAAAACAAGGACTCTTGCCTATAGTCAGAGGGCATTCACTTTCAAATGCCCCCCTCTCTGTAAAAAGAGCTTTCCTACTATTCTTCCTTTCTGATCTTATATTCCAATAAATTTTTGCCTGCTGCTCATTTCGTGTCCACCTCTTCTTTCCTTGAAGCAGCGAGACAACAAACCCTGGGTACTGAGGTTAAAAAAAAAATCTGGCAACAATGGGACTTCCTTCATGTCTCCTGTATTGACTTCTCTAGATCAATCTACATTGAACACAACATTTTTAGAGCTAGAAGAAAATTTTAAACCATCTTCATTTTAAAAATGACGAAAGTGAAACTGTAACAGGTAAAGAAACTATCATTAAGGTTATGGTGTTATGAAAGCTATAAGACTATTCTTATAAAGAATAAAGAAAAAATCTTTGTTTAACTTTGGGAGGAAGGTTGCGATACTTTGAACTACCAGGATAAAAATGGGCAAAGGTGAAAAGGAGAACAAACATTAACTGTATCTTCCCCTTATTGGTATAGGGCACTGCCTTATTAATAATGATACTGAAATGAATATATTTACTATTTATTGCTGTAGTCCACTGACCTTTGTTGACTAATAACTAAAGACAGAAAGAGCTTGAGAACAATGGTGCTTCTATCAATCTCTTTAAAATCAATTAGAAAAGATAAAAAAATAAATACTATATTCTTTTGAGGATTCACATTCTAAAGTTCAAAGGAATCTCAAAGTTGTTCTCCTTTAAGTAATAAAAGACCTTTTTTACACCTAATGACTCTGAAGTAAAACCATAGTGTCCTAGAATTTCTCCTAATATCAGGAACCTTTTAGTAAAACTGGGGACCAGTCATCTCTGAGAATTCCTTAATCTTCAAGAAGGACGCCCTACCACCCACAGCAATAAAAAGGACCTCTATTCCATGTAGGGAGCATAGAATAAGAATATTTTGGACAGGGCAGTGCCTTTGTAATCCTTCAAATTACACCATGGACTGGGTCTAGGTGTGAGAATAGAGGTTTTTTTCTACCGTATGGTAACAAAAGGCCTTTCACTGTTAGGCAATAACATCAAATTTAAATATCAAAGAATTCTCAAAGCTGTCTGGAACAACAGTCACAACTGATCCAGAAGGCTGTGCTATGGTTTGCACCTAATTAATTAAAATAGAGCCTGCGTTAGCAATGTTAATTTTGGCCTGCATTCTTATGGGAACTTTTCATCAATTCTTGAAGTTGTCCTGCATCTCTGGAATTTTCCCAGCTTCTGAAATCATGTGTCAAATTGTTTGTAATCTGTTGAAAGCTATTTGTGACCTTTCTTTATGCTTTAAAAGAAATAACTCCATCTGTTGGCTAAATCACCAGAAAATTCTGGAGAGGGAGGAAGCTCAAAAGTAAAGAGAAAAGAAAGGCAGTTTTTTCTCCTGACCTTTGAAACTGTAACGTCATGTTAATTGAATCTGAATTTCTTGTTAACAGCTATTTCATTGAACATTTCTGGGAACTGTATTAAGTCAAATGTTTATAGGAAAGCAGGTGTTTTCTCTCACTTTTGTGTCTTCGTGTTTTCTTTTCTTTCTTTTTAATTTATTTTTGAGAGACAGAGCACAAGTCGGAGAGGGGCAGAGAGAGAATGGGACACAATCTGAAGGAGGATCCAGGCTGAGAGCTGTCAGCACAGAACCCAATTCAGGGCTCGAACCCCCAAACCATGAGATCACCGCCTGAGCCGAAGTCGTTTAACCGACTGAGCCACCCAGGCGGCCCGTCTTCCTATTCTATACAAACTCCATTTCCTCTTCTTCTCTCTTCTCACAAAGAGCTCCTGACTTTTCACCTTGTAAACTCCTTTAATAAGAAGGTCCTGTGCACAGATACTTGTTTTCTTCGATATTTGTGACTAATAATCACAAATCATTGCTTTCCCCCCAAGTGAATACTATTTGTAGTTTTATCAATAATCAATTGAGTCAAGGGATAAATAATGTTTTTTTCAGGGATTCCATATAAATATGGCTTTTCTTTTGCACTTTATTTTATTGTAAAATATATTAAGTCAGACAAAATATGTGTCTGTATTCTTCAAAACCAGGAAAAATGCCTTCTGTATTTACCCTCATTTAATCTTTTCTTCACATTTTCATTCTTGGTGTAGTCTGGAAGGAAGGGAGGTAAGAAATGAGAGACTGAGATCGAGACTGAGACCGAGAGAAAAGAATGTCAGGTGCCCTGTGCCTTCCTATGATTTCTTCTCAGCTGCCCTTGACTGTCTACTGGTGAATATTTTAAATCCTCTGTAAGGTTTCCACTCCTCTGCCCTCTGTGAGGAAGCACTGACAACCATAGCCCCAGTGAACAAGCAGCCCAGTTTTGGCCTCTGGGAATGAGGTAGTATAGTGTTAGGGAAGAGAAAAACAACACCTTTAAGTTTCTCATAAAGACTGTGCTTGTCTTGAGTCCATCAGATAAGTCAGCCTTGCACAAGAGCTAGCTGGACCTTCAAAAGCCAAACCAACAAGCTTGTCTTAGCAAGGCCAGATGCCCATTTGCAGAAGTTGAAACAATAACATGTGGGCAAGACGCTAACACCAAAAGGTAAATTGGGTATGATTTGCTGAACAGCAAACAGTGAGTGGGATCAATCTTCAGGGCCACTGATGACTTGGTAACCATAAGGAAATTGCATGAGGAAATTGGGGGCAGTGTTTCAGGGCTTCAGAAGTGAAACACCTCTGGGATATATTTGCTCTGATTAACTGGGATACTACAGGATAATCCAAGTTCAAATTTTCCTATAACTTTTCCTTCAGCCTCTCCTGGAGAATCTCAGTCTCAAGAAGCTCAAGTAGAATCACTCTATTTCTTCAGAAGCCAGCCCTTGAGAATTCACTGACCTCTAATATGAGTGGACATAACACCTAGAAGCTAGTCAAGTCCCGAGGAAGTTTGTCTCTATCACCATTGTCAATATTTCAGTGATCCTCAATATCCATAATAACTTTGCCACTCACCTTCATTTTTATTTCTACCACCTCCAGTGAGGAATGAATAATAAATGACATATACTATGGGAGGTTGTTGATGCACTGTTTCTATAATCTTCTTGTGGACCAAATTTTCTTCAGTTGCAGTGTCATTTGAAAAACAAATAGGATGTGATTACACCCTGGCATTTTTACAAAGCCAAGGGCTGGACCTACTTCTGCACCATTTTGTATGATTTTAGTCTCAGCCTCTAATGTCAGAAAAGCCTGTCAAAGATCTAAAACATGCTCTCATTTACTATGTACTACTTTGTACCTCAATTCCAACATTTTTAATAATAGAGAACACATTTTCTGCCCTTTGGGATGGTGCCCAAGTATTCTGACTTGGTGTAGATATGTCTAGATCAGGTCTCTTGCAGGAAATATCTTTCTAATCAGCCATCTTGTTCTGGGCTAAGATCAAGGGAGCGTGAAAGCTATTAGTAGAAAAAGTAAGAAATAACAGGCTAATCAAATACTCTTTTCATTTTAAACAAGAGCACTTGAGAAACTAAAGTTCAGTTCAAGTCACAGAGGATCAGTGTCAGCCAGCCTCAAGTCTTTTCAACAGTATCAAAAGTCAAAACACTAGAATTAAATACACATTAATTCAAAGACTGACTCCACTTTCCTTCATCCACAGTTGAGTGTAACAAGACAGAGTTTTGTTTTCTGTTCACTTTTCCATCCCCTGTATTCTTTTCCTGGTGCATGTTATATGCTAACCCATTCCCATCCACCTTCCCCTCCCACCCCAAGAACTACATTGTTGGGGCTAGGCATTCACCAAACTTTGATTACACAAATGGGACTTAAAAATTTTTTTAATATTTATTTATTTTGAGAAAGAGACAGAATATGAGTGGGGGAGGGGTAGAGACAGAAGGAGACACAGAAGCTGAAGCAGGCTCCAGGCTCTGACCTGTCAGCACAGAGCCCGACATGGGGCTCAAACTCATGGACTGTGAGCTCATGACATAAGCTGAAGTCAGATGCTTAACCAACTGAGCCATCCAGGTGTCCCCAGAAATGGGTCTTTTTAAAAGTAATTCAAAGAAGAAAAATTAAATATGAGCATAATGGCACTCAATAATTATGCTCTTCTTGATGTGGGTCACTTTTGGCAATGTGAAAAGTCTAATAGTTTTGAAGACTGTTTTGAAGATGCTTTGTCTTGATGATAGAATCTATGGGGAAAGGAAAGAATATGAGACAGCCTACTCAATTTTATCTCTTTTAGTTCACTCGATTTCATCCAGAGGAAAAGTCCGATGGAAGTAAATAACAGAGAATCCAGACCAAAGGCTGAAGAAAGTGTGCAAGATTTGTGAAGTAGAAGAAACTGAGAAATCTAAATAGGAAAGTGAGACGAGACAATTTCTTCATAGGAGAGGGGATTCCAGATATGTAAAAGAGGGGACACCATGTAGGCAGCCCATAGAGATGAGAATGGAGACCCATTACCCTGATGAGTTCCTGGAGGCAATGAATAGAGAGGATGAGTCACTCATCATTCCACACACAAAGTGTACTGTAGGTTAATGGTAAATTGTGACATGAGAATAAAGTTAAGATCTGTTTCTTGTCTGGACTCTTTGGAAAAGTTTTAATTTATTTGGTTTTGTTTTTCTAATGGAATACACTATTCTGGCTTCTCATGTTAAGCTGGTACATAGGAACTGAAAGGAAAATAAAATAAGAAATTGAGAAAGAATAGTGAGTGCATCTGAGTTAAAGCAAAGGGTTTGTTTCAGTTTACTAAACCCACATCTTGCCACACGGCCTGCCTATTTGTGTCAAGCAAGTCTGTCTGGGGAAAACACTGATCATGTGAATTACTTAATAGTCAATTCACTTTCAATTCACTTTCAATAAGGAGTATAAGAATATACTCCTTATATTCACAAAAAACCATGGGGAGCCATCTTCCTTGTAAAGGAGAAAAAAGAAGATAACAAAGGAAATGAAGGAATACGAAAGTTTTTTCATGGTTAGCACTAGAGAGGAAAACTGTCACCCCTGAATCCTTGTAGCTGGGTCAGATGAAAATGCCAAGGCTGTAGTTTTTCTTAAACAGTTACTTCAAAATAGATGTTTCAAGACTAACTGATTACAGTCTAGACATGAGGAAGAAATATTATTATTATCATTTTTGATAAACATAGATTGCCTGCTGTGTGCTGACTATTATGCCCAATTCTATGAGGGACAGCATGTTTTCCCACTTAAGGAGCTCAAAACTATATAACAGGGATAGGGAAAACATAATGAAAAATAATCACAAATTATCACATGATGTGATAAATACTATTAAAGTGACACATAAAGATATATGTAAAAGATAATGTATTACTTTTATTTTTTTAACTTTTTAATGTTTATTTATTTATTTATTTTGAGAGACCAAGAGACAGCACAAGCAGGGAAGGGGCAGAAAGGGAAAGAGAGAATCCCAAGAAGGCTCTGCACTCACAAGGAGCTCGATCTCATGAACCATGAGATCATGACCTGAGCTGAAATCAAGAGCCAGATGCTCATCTGACTGAGCTACCCAGGTGCCCCAAAGATAATAATATTATTAAAGCAAGATAGGATTGAGCCATCTTGTGTTCATTTTCTTAGTGCTTTGTAATATGTGTTTATACATGTCTATTGTACATAGATGAAAATATACATGAGTAATACCATGTGAACTTCAAACTTTCTTTTATCTTTATACTTGCTCTTTGATATGCAAGAAAATAAATTATTTTAATTGGTAGCAAATCTTTCCTTTAGATTCCATTTCCATGCAGAGAAACCTTCGATATAAAGAACAGATTCATAAGGTTTGATTTTCCCAGCCATAGTTCCTTCCGTTTCTTCTTAGTGACATATCATCCTCATCCTCTGTCTTCTTTCTCTTCATTCAAAAGGTCTCCATTATAAAGAGATAGATTATGTGCCAGGTTGCATTATAATTTCAACTTCTGACAACAGAATTCAATCCACCTTATTCCTAAGGAAGGGATCCAACATGAAGCTACCCTGACCCATAACAGTTGGTGCTTTGAGGATCTTACAAGAACTGACCCTAAATGGTTCAGGAAATACTGAAATGCTAAACTGTCTGACAGTGACCATATTAGAGAATAAGTAAGAGCACTCTACCCCACAACAAAAAGTGAGCACTCTTGTTGATTGTTTTGGCTTTCCCATTATTACCTCAAATTCTCGCTACATTATGGTACATGTGTTTGGGGACTTGAACACATTTAAAAAGCTAACGCTGTATTTTCAATCAAGTTCCCTAGAAGCAGAGCCTGAGACAGGAATTCTTGATCAACTGATTTATTGGAGGAGTGCTTCAAAGGAAGGAAAACGAGAGAAGCCATGTAGTGCAGAGGAAATCAATAAAGGAAGAATAAGTTTCTGAGCAAGATGGCTTTTGTTTGGCTGAGAGCAATTTTCTGAAGAAACAAGAAAAAGGAGCAGTGAGTTATTAGCACCTAGGGAATGGCTATCCTGGCTGGTGAAGGGCATCTATGTAGGGTACCAGCAGCGTCCCCCCTCCATGACACTGTTTCTAAAGGACTGCCACTTTTTGGTAAGAGAAAATTCAGGGGTGCCTGGTGGCTCAGTCGGTTAAGCATCCGACTATGTCTCAGGTCATGATCTCACGGGTTCGGGCCCCGCCTCTAGCTCTGTGCTGACAGCTAGCTCAGAGCCTGCTTCAGATTCTGTATCTCCCTCTCTCTGACCCTCCTCTGCTCACACTGTCTCTCTCAGAAATAAATAAAACATTAAAACAAATTTTAAAAACTTCATTTTGGGAAGCAGATGTCTTTAAAACCTGGTAGAAGTTGTTAAGCTGTGATTCAAATATACAGTGAATGGCCTTTAAAAATTTGACAATTGCTGAAAAACTCTAAATGGCACCACATTCCATCTGAGTGTAAGCCAAGTCCTTTACAATGACCTTCAATGTCTTGTTTGACTTCTCTGGTGGCATCTTCTCTTGGTTCCCTCCACTTCTTGCTCTTCCCCAGATATGTCCACACCATGATTGCAACAGGCGGCTGTGCAAGCTGTACATGTGGTGCACTACCCAATTGGAGAGAGCATCATTTATAGCTTAAGTTATTAATGATGTACCTATTACTACCACACATTTTTGCCAAGTGATAATGAAGTGTTTTGGGAAAAGAAAGCTGTTTGGATAAGCAATAAATCTGGTTCCATTTTAGGGCTTTGCAAAATTGTTTCTTCAGTCTTGAAATTCTCCCTCCCCCCAGTTACACATCTGGGAAACTTTTTCACCTTCTTTATGTCTCTCTTCAAATGATACCTTCTCAAGGTACTACCCTGACCACTCTATTTGAGATGCAACCTGTATTATCCCCCAACACACATGCATATTCCTGAGACCCCTGAGCTTGCTCTATTTTTCTCATAGCATTTGTCCCCATACTATTTACTTATTATATTCACAATTTATTGTCTCTCTTCTCCACTATAATGTAATCTCCACAAGGGTACAGATTTTAGTCTGTTTTTATCATGTATGCATCTTTCTCTGGGTCTCTGTTCATCTTTAAATGTTGAACTGAGGATTCAGTGCTATCATAATGGTAAAGTAATTGCTGGACACATAGATAAAGCTCTTTTTATACTCTTTCTCAGTGTGTGTTCCTGAGCAATGAAAGCAAGTGATGGGATTCAGAAAATAAAGTACCTGGGGTGCTCAGACTCACATCTTCAAGGCCAAGAAAGAATATTTGTTTTAAGGTGAAAGGTGAAACATTGGGAACTCCAGACCTGAAGCCACTCTCAGGGCAAGTACTCATGTATGTATGTATTCTTTTTTTTCTCCCTCTTTCTTTGTCTCTTGGCAAAAATCCGCTGTGTTGATTCATCCTCAGGCAACAAAGAGGGTCCTAGGCTTAAGTGTCCTTTACAATTTAGAATCTTACAAAAAGAGAGTCTGTTTTTCCTGGCACCCGTTTGAATCCCCAAGAAGAAGACTTTTGGGGGCCTATCTGTGTCAAATACCCAAGCCTGAATAAATGACTGTATCCAAAAGAATTGTCCAATCTGGGTAACTACTAACTCTTGATGTGGGAGGCCAGGGCTATGTGATTGAAACCTTGGTAATGGAAGGAGTATCAATTCCAATAAGAAAAGATGCTGAACAAGCAAAAAATCTAACAAATATCCCAGCATTAGTACAATGCCCGTACTGTTGTGGCACCCAGTAAATGGACATTTGCATTCTATTCTAATTTTTCCTTGTCATGGCCCTCTGTACTTGTTGGTAGTTTTGGGGAGCTGATTTATTTATCACCCACTTTTAAAACTTCTTCCTAGTCATTAATTTCAGATACTATCTTTATAAATTCCTTCCTTCTTTTTTCTTCCAGTTGCATTTTGTTGTTTTTCAGATTTTCAATTGAATCTTAGTCGACTTATTTTCCATCCTTTATATTTTTTAATAAACATATGTATTGGTAGCCTTCTATATGTTTTGATGTATTATGCATTCATTGTTGAATTTCAAAATGGATTTATAAACAATTTGACTTCTTCTTTTGCTCACAGAAATTATTTGTTTTGAAATTTCTAAGAAAATAAACATTCTGGGCTATCTTTTTGCTATAATTTCTAATTTAATTGCATTTTTGGTCAGAGAAATGACTTACCCTATGACCTATACATCAAAATTTTTAAATGTTCCAAGAGTATTTGAATAGTCTATTATTCTGTTTTATGTAACTATCATTTTTTTAAATTTTCATTTTCAATAACTATTTTTTTCTATGTGATTTATCCATCAGTTTCTAAAAAAGAATACATTAAAGGCTTCTATGAAGATTAAGTGTTTACAAATTTCTTTGTGTTTCTAATTATTCTTTTCAGTCCATATTGTGTGGTCCTATTTTTTGTTACACAAACATACGTGGAATCTTCTTTGTTATGTTGAATGATATTTTAAAATTCTATGTTGTCTGATATTAACATTATCATTTTAAGTTAACATTTGCTTAGTTCAGTTTGGTCCATCCTTTATTTTTCAAGCTTTTGGAACTACATTTGGAGCCAGTTAGTAAGGCATAAGTTTGGCATAGGGAACAATGGTAGCAGGAACCTCAATGCAAATATCCAGAGTCTGATGGAAAGGAGATACCTTTCCCTCCATTCCCTTCCTCTTCTTCAGTTACTGACCAGTCATAGTTACAAGCTAGCATTTGTTTTAGAGCTTTTAACTCATTTCTACAATAAAAAAGGTGGAGAGTAGGGGAGATAAGAGGGGGCTTAGCCTGAGAGGTGATGAAATCAGAGATGCCTTTGTAGAGGGGAAGGAGAAGTTATTCAGCTGTTCAAAGTCATAGGCAACACCTTGGAAAGACTGTGGTCTTGAGAGGTGACAGAGGCAAGAGTGCTTCCTGTGGAGTGGTCTCCGAGCCAATGTCTGTACATGTTCACAATCATCTGCTCAAATACCGTGAGCTTCAGTTCTGTGAAGAGATGTCAGAATGAGGCCACAAGACAGGTGCAGACCCAGAATGAGCCAGAATGTCCACCTATAACAACTCTTACAAACAACTCCTTGATCCCTTTGGCCTTAGAGACAGAGCTTGCTTGCTGGTGCACTGACAATTATGGCGTGTTTTATAGCTGCAAGAGCTATTTTATACACACACACACACACACACACACACACACACGTTAGTTAACATACAGTGTAGTCTTGACTTCAGGAGTAGAACCCAGTGATTTATCTCTTATATATGACACCCATTGCTCATCCTAAAAAGTGCCCTCCTTAATGCCTGTCACCCATTTAACCCATTCCCCTTCCAGCAACCCTCAATTTGTTCTCTGTATTGAAGAGTCTCTTATAGTTTACTGCCCTCTCTGTTTTTTTATCTTATTTTTCCTTCCTTTTCCCTATATTCATCTGTTGAGTTTCTCATTTTAATGTCAAAATGAGGCATGGAGGAAGCATCAGTTGCAGTCCTCACCACTGCTCTCTGGTCTGGTGAATGTCTCCAGGAAGAGCGCCTAAGGATTTTCAGGCACATGGTGATAATAAAAAGCAGGCTAAAAAATAAATAAATAAATAAAAATAAAAAATAAAAAATAAAAAAAAAACAAAAACCTTCCTTTCGGCCGGAACCGCCATCTTCCAGTAATTCGCCAAAATGACCAACACAAAGGGAAAGAGGAGGGGCACTCGCTACATGTTCTCTATGCCTTTTAGGAAACATGGAGTTGTTCCTTTGGCAACATACATGCGAATCTACAAGAAAGGTGATATTGTGGACATCAAGGGAATGGGCACTGTTCAAAAAGGGATGCCCCACAAATGTTACCACGGCAAAACCGGAAGAGTCTACAATGTTACCCAGCATACTGTTGGCATCGTCGTAAACAAGCAAGCTAAGGGAAAGATTCTTGCTAAGAGAATTAATGTACGTATTGAGCATATTAAGCACTCAAAGAGCCGAGACAGCTTCCTGAAGCGTGTGAAAGAAAATGATCAGAAAAAGAAGGAAGCTAAGGAGAAGGGTACTTGGGTTCAGCTGAAGCACCAGCCTGCCTCGCCCAGAGAAGCACACTTCGTGAGAACCAATGGAAAGGAGCCTGAGCTGCTGGAGCCCATTCCTTATGAGTTCATGGCATGATAAATGTAAAAACATAAAATAAAAGACCTCAAGACTGTAAAAAAAAAAAAAAAAAAAGCAGGCTAACAACTTTCAGTTGCCTTTACTATTTTTACAAATTCTCTACATAAAATGTACCCTCTTATTTCCCGCACCCAGGGCAGATTGCTCCTATGGCTCACAACTCATGCCCTTGGTGAGCCATTGCTGGGTCCTTACAGAGATCTTAGAAACTCATTTATTTATTTATTTTTAAACATTTATTTTTGAGACAGAGACAGAGCACAAGCAGGGGGAGGGGAAGAAGGCGGGGGGGTGGGGGGACACAGAATACAAAGCAGGCTCAAAGCTCTGAGTTGTCAGCACAGAGCCCGACATGGGACTCAAACCCACAAACCATGAGATCATGACCTCAGCTGAAGTCAGATGCTTAACTGACTGAGCCACCCAGGAGCACCAAATCTCAGAAACTCATGATGGGGGTATCCCATATAACTCCACCATACTCTTTCACCAAAAATTCCTCTCACAGACATGCCAATCTTGTCTACTATTTGAAGAAAGCTGAGAAATATCAGGTCTTCCCTTGGCAGGAGATTCCAGAGTGGGGTGGGCATTATATTCTTATATAGAAGTTTAAGCAGGATAAATCATAGGAAAGAAAGTAACCAAGAAGTCATTGATCCAGGTCAACAGAGTCCAAATGAGGCTTTCTCTCAATAATAATAGTATTTTCTTGATTTGATATGGAAAAGAGGGAACTGGACACAATGATTGTTGATTTCAATGTATCATATTGACTTGTATGACATGGAAATTCTACACCAGGAACAAGCAGACCTGAGTCCAGATCCTAGCATCACCACTGACTTTATTATCTTAAACAAATTATGAAATTAATATGTATCTAGACTCCTCTTCTTAAGATGGGTTGATAATATTTTCCCTGTGTTTCCAAAGGGCTCTTCTGTAACAATATGAAGACAAGTGAAGAAGGTCTAAGCGATGTGGCAATACGAGCGGAAGAGAACCTTTCCTGCCTTATTACTCACTGAAAAAAGGCTAGGCTTCTGGGACTCCTATTCTCAAAGTAAACAAATAGCCTCTTACTAAAAGGCATATTCCATGTTCCTACCATGTATACTCATTGTATATTATTTCATTATGTTATATACTTATTGCCTGTTAGCATACAGACACAGATCTACTGGCCTTAATTTTCTTTGTGCTAAATGGCATTTTGACCCAACATGGCTCTAGTACCATGATTATCATGATTTATTTTTCTTAAAGTAAAACACACATATAGAAAAGTATATAAATCATACGGGGATATAGGTCAAAATTAAGCTCATCTGTGTAACCAATACCAGATCAAGAAATAGAGCACAAGCAGCACCCCAGAAGTCTCCCTTGTGTCTTTCTTGTGCCTCCTTCCAGTCACTACCAACCTTTTCTCCCAAGGGTAACTGCTACTCTGACTAACATAGCCATATATTAGTTTTCCTGGAGGCTCTTTTATTTTTACTTTTAAATATTATTTTAGAGAAAGAGCACACATGAGCTGGGAGAGGGGTAGAGAAAGAGAATCTTAAGCAGGCTTCATGCTAAATATAGATCCCAATGGACAGTTTGATCCAATGACCCTTGGATCATGACCTGAGCCGAAATCAAGAGTCAGAAGCTCAACTGACTGAACCACCCAGGCACCCCTCCCCCGCACCGTAGCTCTTTAATAGAATAGAAATGCCACTTCCATATAGTTGCTAGTGCTCTCATCTTTTGCTGTGTGAGCTTTTGATTATTTAATAAAGCAAGAGAGGTGAGAAGAGTACAAGCAGACACAGAAGATAGGACTGGAAATTATCTTCTCTATAAAGTATTGTTGGTTAAGACCAATGTGTCATTTCCAGCAGACATTTGATCTTATAATATTTTGGAGGGGAAAAAAAGCTTAATGATGTTGGAACTACTGTGCTTCTTTTGTCTAAGATAAATTGCAAAATACCATTTATAGAAAATTTTTAAAAGAAGGAAACATTTCTCTGTGGCTGAACTTGGTACTTGTCCATACTTGGAGAGATTTAGAGATGTACAGTATAATATTGTCATCTTAGCACAATATTCCCAAGAGTACAAACAAAATCCAAATGCCAGATCTTATCCCAATCACCAATATATTTCCTAGGTGATGAAGAGAGGATTGGGGTCTGGAGATGGGGGAAGGGAAGAGACCTGGAACTATGTACCAAATGCTTCAGGATAGGAAAGCAAGTTCCCTCTCCTTTCCCCCCATATCAAATCCCAAACTGCATTCCGTTGTCTGACTGGGCTGGCCACAGCTGTGGCTGTTTCCAAAATGAAGATGGAATCTAGCCACACTTGGATTTAGTATTCTCTAGAACTGCTATTCCTTTGGGCATTATTTTTAGAAGTATCACATTGCAGAGGGGCCAATTTTTCTAACCAGCTTTGGAAAAATTTGCAGTCCTTTTCCCCTAAATATAAAATATTGGTGTAAAAGGCTCCTGTTCATATTTTCCCTTATCCCAGTGGAATATCCTTATCCCAATGGAAAAAGAGAACATGATTCCTTAAGCCAGCTATCTGCCTAAAATAAAACTGTTTAGTTTTTTTTCCCCTAAGTCGGATAAAATATATATCATAATAGCACAACACAGCTGCGTATTTGAGCTTAAGAGTCTACAAAGTGAAAGTCTATATGGTGACTTCTTATTACAGTTCTATTTGACGTGTATCAACCAACATTCTCTAAGAATTTATGGTGGAGAGTGTTAGATACAGATGGCAAAAGACCAACAAGACGTTGTCCTTGCCCACAAAAAGTTCACGGATCAGTGGCACGACAAACACAAAATCAATAATTAGCATATAACAAGCAGTACTATAATGAAAGTTCTATGTACCGTGTTTTACAGAATATGAAATTAACTCTGATAGAATGTATGGCCTCAGAAGAAGTCGCAGAGGAAGTATCACAGCATAACTGACCAACGAAGACAAAGACCAGACATCCCAGGGACAAGGAATAATGCAAAGGCAAAGAGGAATGACACA